CGAACTGGGGATGAGGGTGGAGAAAACAGTGCAACAATGAATGAATGAAAACCCAAAATCTCTGTAAATGTTCATTAAAACGAATAAAATTTAAGGAAAAAAAAAATCCCCAAATCCCAGGCCAATGATGCATAAAAAAAAAAAAGTCCTTCACCATGATCAAGTGGGATTCATACCAGGTTGAACCATCAAAGAATGTTTCAACATTAGAAAAATAATCTGTGTAATCCATTGCCTCAATTAAACAAAGGAAAAGAACCACATGGTCATTTCAATTAATGTCGAAAAGGCATTGACAAAATTTAACACCTTTTCCTGAGAAAAATGCTTAACAAAATAGAAACAGAAGAGGAATTCCTCAATGTAGTTAAATGCATATACACAAACCCATCAGATAGCATTACTCTCAATGGAGAGAGATGGAAGGCATTCCCTTTGGGAACAGGGGAACCAGACAAGATTGTCTTTCATCACCTCTCCTATGCAATATTGTACTAGAAGTCCTAGTCAGATTAATAAGGCAGGAAAAGGAAAGAAAAGGCATCTAACTTGGCAAAAGGAAGTAAAACTACCTCTTTTCATAGATGACATGGTCTTATATATAGAAAGACTCTATAAGAAAATGATTAGATTTACTGCCCAATTAGTAAAGTGGCAGGGTACAAGATGACTATACAAAAGCGTCAGATTTCAGGAATGAAATGAATAAAAGAATGAAAAGAAAGAAAAGAATGACACTTACAATAGCAATTCATAAGATAAAATATTTAGGAATAGATGTAACCAGAGGAACAAAAAGTCTATATATACAGAAAACAAGAACCCAGTACTACAAGGAACCCAAAGAGACCCACATAAAAGGATAAATATACCATGTTCTTGGATTGGAAGACTTACCATTGTGAAAATGGCAATATTATAATCTATAAGTACTATGCAATCCCTATTCATCTACTGTCATCATTTCTCGAACAGATAGAAACCTCATTTGGAAAGGAAATAGATCTCATTACAGATCTCAAGCAGATACTGAAGAAGAAAAATAAGGTAGGAAGCCTCACACTTCCTGATTTCAAAACCTACTATAGAGCCACAGGAATGAAAACAGAGTGATACTGGTACAATTACAGGTTTGCTATGGACAAGCGATATTTGACAAAGGGATGGGATCCACTAAGTAGGAGTGAGTCTGCTGGCAATAACGGGTTGTCCATTTGCAAAAACTGAAACAAGACCCACACTTGACATCATATGCAAAAACTAACCCAACATGGATAAAACTGACACTACAAAGGACATCAAAGAAAAAAAAAAATGGGGGCAAATTTGGTAGCTCCGTGGCAAGAAGCTGTGCTACAATCCCGAAGGCACACGGTTCAAATCCACCAGCTGCTCCATGGGAAAAGAATGGGCAATCTCCTCCTGTCCGATTAACTGCCTCTGAAAATCCACCAAAGGTTCAGCTGTGGGTCAGTTCTGACTTGACAATACACAAAAAAACAAGATCAAGCTATGGCTTAAGAAGAATATAAAATATAACTGGCATCAATCAACAGAGGTTATACTAAATGAATGAGACTTCCTGAAAAAGGAAATCTTTATGTACATTAAAAAATTCTCCAGAAAAGTAAAAACAGAACCTACAGTTTGGGATAAAAAACCTATTTGGCAGTGATATATCTGACAAGAGACTCATCTTTAAAATTTATAAGAAAACCCTCCACACTTAATAAGAAAAAGACAAACAACCTAATTACAAAATGAGTAAATGACATGAATAGACATTTCACCAAAGAAGACATTCGGATGGCCAGCAAACACATGACGAAATCTTAAGTTCATCAGCTCTCAGAGATATGTAATATCCAACACCAAAGAAAGATATCATCCCACGCCAGCAAAAAGAATAATGCTATAAAAGACATTAAACAACAAATGCAGAGAGTTCTGGTGGCCTAGTGGCAAGAAGCTACCCTGCAATCCTGAAGGCACGTGGTTCGAATCCACCAGATACTCTGCTGCAGAAGGAGGGGCAATCTCCTTCTGTGCCAGCTGGGTCTGATTTGACAGTACACAACAAGAAAACAAAAACCCAATAAATGCTGGTGAAAATGTGGAGAGAATGGAGCTCTCATACACTGTTGGTGGTAATGTAAAATGGTGCGATCTACATTCACACAATGGAATACTATGCAGCATGCAGGAGCAATCATTTTGTAAATTACTACCTAACTTGGGAGCGACTGGAGAGCATTATGCTGAGTGAACTAACTCAGTCCCACAAGGACTAATACTATAGAAAACCATTACTGTAAAATGAGTATGAGGATCCAAGGCGGGGGGGGGGAGGGTGGAAATAGAGGGGTGAGGATGTGGGGGGCAGGTAGGGTCGTAATCATAGGGTTGCAAAATTCAGTGGGTGTGTGGGGTGAAGGAAATGGGAAGGATCTTTTGTGGAAAAACTATGTATTCAAACTTTTTAAATAAGCCAGAATAGAATAAAAAAGAATGGTGCAATTACTATGGAGAGTAATTTGGTGTTTCCTTAAAAAGTTGGGAATAGGAATACCTTTTGATCCAGCAAACTCACTGCCAGCTATATGTTGTTGTTAGGGTGGCATTGGGTTGAGTATGACTCATAATGACCCTACGAACAACAGACCTGAATCCTGTCCTATCTGTGCCATCCTCATCATCTCTGATACACTTGAACCTACTGCCGCAGTCACCATGTCAATCCACCTCACTGAGGGTCTTCCTCTCCTTTGTTTCTCCTTCACCTTCCCAAGCATGATATCCCTGTCCAAGGATTAGCCTCTCCTAGCAACATGTCCAAAGTATGAGAGACATAGCTTCACTATGCTTGTCTCCAAGGAGCACTCTGGCCGCATCTTCTCCAAGACAACTATTCTTTTGGCAGTCTATGGGATAGTCAGCACTTTTCTCCAACATGACAACTCAAAGGCATCAATTCTTTTGTCAGCTTTATTTGCCCAGTTCTCAGATGCATAACAAGCAATTGAAATACCATGGCCTGAATCAGGCACACTTTAGTCTTCAAAGAGCTGCGACACAAACTGACATACATTCATGTTTATCTCAGTATTATTTGCAATAGCAAGGAGCGGAAAGCAACTCCAGTCTCCATCAAGAGACAAACAGCTAAAAAACTGTGGTACATTCACAGGAGTATCACGAATCACTAAAAAACAACAAAGATTTTGTGAAATATTGCACAATATTGAGGAAACGAGAACAAATTCAGTCACAAAAGGACATTTGTAGTATAAGACCACTAACATGGAAAGCGAAGAAATAGTTTTTCTTTTTTAAAAAATACATAACGCTTCATGAATTTGCGTGCCATCCTTGCGCAGGGGCCATGCTAATCTTCTCTGTATCATTCCAGTTCTAGTATATGTGCTGTCGAAGCAAGTACAAGAAATAGTTTATACATGGAATCCATCCTGGAGGGTTAATAGAGACGTGAGCAAGGAACATATACACGCACATCTTCCTAGTATTTTCATCACTATATTTTTCAGTTATAAATTGAAGGAGTAGGGGGACTGGAGAGGGAAAGAATCTCAAAGAAACAAATAGTCTAATAAGCATTATGTATTATGGTGGCCTCATGGGTAGGGAGCTGTGCTGTCAATCCAAACGCAGGCAATTCAAATCTACCAGGAGTTTCACAGGAGAAAGATAAACAGTCTCCTCTTGTATGATTTATAAGCCTCTGAAAACCCACTGGAAGGTTAGTTCTGATGTGACAGCAATGAAAGAGAGAGACAGAGGCTTAAACATTTGAAAGACAGACTCATCTTTGGAAAGGATATGTGAAAGATATCAGTAATCCCCTCACTTTACAGGTGAGGAATCGGAGACTCAGACAGGTCATGTTAACTTACTCTGAATCACACCGTTCAAGTGGCAGACCTGGTAGTTGGCCTCAGGGACACCAAATGCAGGCTGGGAGTGGCCGGAGCCCTTCCCAAGCAGGTAATGTGCAGTAATAAAAACGAGGGTGTAAGGGGCAGAGTCAGGATGGAACTCCAGGTGTGGGTGAGCTGTGACAACTTACCTTCTCAGCTCCTGACATCCCATAGGAGGCGACATGGAAGACACAGTCCACGCCTTCAAAAGCGCGGTAGAGGGCTTCTTCATTTCGGACATCTGCCTGCAACAAACAAGGCAGAGATGGGGTGGCATGTTCAAGGCCAGGATCAACAGAGATAGATACCAGCTTGACGTTTAGCTAAGTCCCAGAGCTGGCCCCTTGTTCTCTCCCAGGCTACGTAAGCAGCAGGGTTGAGTGAGGCGAGGGGATGGGAATTCTGACAGAATTCTATCTGGTGGCATCAGCAGCAGCAGTCACCACTTATCATGCTCTCTAAGGAAATTTGGTGGTCTAGTGGTAAGAAGCCACGCTGGAATCCCAAAGGTATGCGCTTCTAATTCACCAGCTGCTCTGTAGGAGAAGAGTGGACAATCTCCTTCTGTGCAATTTATTGCCTCTGAAAACCCGCTGGAGGGTCAGCTGTGGGTTGGTTCCAACTCAACGACACACAATAGTCAGAACGAGAACAAGACACAGGGTGGTGCTATGAGACCCTTGTGATGCGGGTTGTATTTTTTATCGTCTCTTTCTTGTCCTTTTCTACGCTGAGGTCACTGTGAACCATGATGAGGCCTGTGGCTACACAGCTGGGAAGTACAGGAGTTAGGCAGTCTCACTCCAGAGCTTGTGCTTTTAAACACATCACTGATTTGATCTCTAGTCATCCACCAGCCTGGGTGTTCCCTGGTCCCCCAAGTCCCTCATCCCAGCACCTGGATGAACTCGGTTCCTGGAGCCAGCTCCCACTGGGGTCTCCGGAGGTCGAGAAGAATGACAGAAGTGCCACTTTTGGCCAGGCTGGAGCCCAGGCTGAAGCCCAGGTAGCCCCCTCCTCCTGTCACCAGGACCTTCTGCCTGGGAGCCTGGGACGCTGCGGTTGGAGTCTTCTGCTGTGACCCTGGGGCTGGTGCCATCATCTGCTCCTGGGGTTTGGGCTCAGTTCCGGCCCCCTGTTTGAGTCTAGCCTCAGATCCCTCTTTGGGCCCAGTCTTTGATTTTGGCTCTGTCCCAGAAGATGGTGCAGCTCCTGGGCCAGGTACTAACCCAGCTCTTGGTCCAGGCTCCAGACTCACTCCAGGTGCTGAAACAGTATCTTGTACTGGTCCAGACCTTGGTACTACACCAGGGACTGGCCCAGAACTTGGGACAACACTAGGTCCAGATTTCAGCCCTGAAACAGCACCAAAACTGGACCCAGGTCCTGGAATAGCACCAGAACCAAGCCCAGGCCCAAGCACTACACCAATCCCTGGTCTAGAGCCTGGGACAACAGCAGACTTTGGCCCTTGAACAGCATCAGACCCTGGCCCATTTCCTGGAATAACACCAGGCCCTGGTCCAGAACCTGGGACAATACCAGGTCTAGGTTTTGGCCCTGGAACAGCAGCAGACCCTGGCCCATTCCCTGGCACTGCACTAGGTCCTGGGACAGAACTAGGCCTTGGCCCAGAATCTGGGACCCCACCAGGTCCAGGCCTTGCCCCTAGAACAGGAGCAGGCCTGGTCTCAGGCCCTGAGGCAGCACCAGCTCCCGGCCCAGGCTCTGGCACTGTTCCAGTCTTCACTCTAGATCCTGACCTGGACCCTAAGTCAGAACCTGAGCCTGAGACCCCAGCCCAGGCCTGGCAGACAGGGCAGCTCTTATCACCCTGGTTAGAGCCTTTGCAGGCCTCTGGGGAAGAGCCTGTGGAATTGGGCTTCATCCTCTACCACTCCATGTGGGTTCTGAATCGTGCACCTGTAGGGAAAAGCAGAAGAGAGAACAATCTAGAGTCATCCCAAGTCACACCTATCATCACACCCCTAGGGGCTGAGGAAGGGGCCCTGGTGGCAGAGTACACCTGAACTCAGATCATGTAGGATTCTAACTATTGAACAAAGGAACCACTAGTAAAGGTTAATGTCAAGTTGCTAACTGTGGAAAGCAGTTAAGCACTTTTCTAGAAAGCTGGGAATAGAAATGCCGTTTGGTCCAGTAATCCCACTGCTAGGTACATATGCCAAAGAAATAAGAGAGGAGACACAAACTAACAGACACACATCTATTTTTATTGCAGCATTATTTACAACAGCAAAGAGTTGGAAACAACCCAAATGTCCATCAACTGACAAATGGCTGAAGAAACTATGGTACATTCACACAGTGGGGTATTATGTATCACTAAAAAAGGATTAAGAACTTGTGAGATACTACACAACATGGATGAATCTAGAACAAATTATGTTGAGTGACATAAGCCAGGCACAAAATGACAGTTATAGTATAAGACTGTTGTTGTTGTTGTTGTTAGGTGCCGTTGAGTTGTGGATGACTCATAACGACCCTATGAATGAAAGGCCTGAGGACTGTTCACAGAGTTTCCAGAGGCAAGCCATTTTGGAAGTGGATGCTACTCCTGCTTCGAAGTTTGTTTTAATCTGGAAGCTCCACTAAACACTGTCCACCATGGGTAACCATTATTACATTTGGCACATCAATGCCATAGTGTTCAGCATCACAGCAACCATGAGTTACCTCTGTACAGCAATGCACAGACCAGTGCTATACCACCTAGAAGAATGTTTGAAACCACCCCCACCCCCCAAAAAAAACCCACCAATTTTAACCCGGTCCGAGGGCCGCAGATTAAAATCACCCACCTTGGGCTTGCAGCATAACTTTCTGTCCACTAGGCCAACATAGTTCTATGTAGCATAAAACTACTATTCTAAAAAGCTAAGGGTAAGATGACATACAAATAGAGTCAATATCACAGAAACAAAAGGGACAGGGATGGAGGAAATGGGGAGTAAAAGAATATCAATAGATAAGTTGGATGACCTCTCCAGTGTTCTGAAGAGTAACGATGTCAGTCTGGAGACTAAGATGTGCCTGATCTAGGCCATAGTCTTCTCAATTACTTACTATGCATCAGAAAGCTGGAAAATGACTAGGGATGATAGAAGGAGAATTGATGTCTTTGAGCTGTGGTTCTGGAGAAGAGTATTGAATATACCATGGACTGCTAGAAGAGCAAACAAGTTCATCCTAGAGAGGGTAAAATCAGGCTGCTTTTTGGAGGCAAGGATTCTGAGGCTTCATCTGACGTACTTTGGACATGTTGCAAGGAGGGACCAGTCCTTGGAGAGAGACATCATGCTTGGGAGGGTGGAAGGACAGTGCAAAAGAGGAAGACTCTCAATGAGAAGGATTGATTCAGTGACTGGGGTAATGGGAATAGGTGTGTCAGAGACAGTGAGATTGGCACAGGATAGAGTAGATTTCAGGGTTGTTGTACATAGGGTTGCTATGAGTCGCAGGTGACTCGACGGCACATAACAACAAGTTGGATAAAGGGAAAACCATTAGATAAGAAAAGGTTTATCAGAGATTATAATTAATAAATTACATTAATCAATGACACTATAATGAAACAAATATCAGTGAACGTGTGAAAACCCAACATGGTTTGTAAACTTTCACTCAGTTTAAAAAAGTGTTGGGTCACTAACTGAAAGGTTGACAGTTCAAACCAAACAGCTGCTCCATGGGAGAAAGGTGAGATGAAACAAATCTCATTTTAGGATTTTCAGCCTTGGAACCCAGATGGAGGGTCACTATGAGTCAGAACTGATAAGTTATCAAGTGGGCTTGATAATTTTGGTTAGAAGCTAAAGGAAACTCTGAGTAGGAATTGTTACTGTGTCGTCAATTTGGAACCAACTCATAACTGACCCTTCAGTGGGTTTTCAATGGCTTTAAATCACATGGGAGGAGGGTGTCCATCTTTCTCCTGTGAAGCAGCTGGCAGATTTGAATCATGCACACTTGGGTTGGCAGCATACTCCTTACCCACCAGGCTACTGTGGGTTGTTGTTACGTGCCACTGAGTAGATCATAACTCACAAGGAGTCTATGAACAACAGATCTGAACCTTGCCCTTGCCCGTGCCTCCATCCTCATCTCTGATACACTCAACCCTTTTGTTACAGTCACCACCTGGAATCTACCCCTTTCAGATTCTCAAGAACTACGTGATGGTTGCCGCAGTTCTGGGCTGCCCCTGTCTCTCAGAGACTCAGCTCCAGCTCGGGAAACCGGGTCTCACAGTTGTACTGAATAGTTAACACTCATACCAAGATCTCCTGACTTCTCTACCAATGTCCTTAAAATCCAGTGGCCAAGTGAGGCCAGAAGAAGGCAGATCAAATTAGGCTACAGGAAGCAAACAGGGAGGGGCCTGCTTTTCTGACTGTGGAAGTGGAAGAGCTTCCTGGGGGAGGAGGAGATGGGGAGATTCCAAAGAGCTCCGCACCCTGCAACTTGCATATGATTCCAAGAGGCGTCTCCGCCCTGTGCTGACGCCTGTGGTCCTGTCAGGTGTCCAGCAGTTCAGGTGTGTCGGGATCCTGAGGTCCACAAGGGGTCAGGTCTATGGCCTTAGAGCCCAGCCCACTGAAGATCCTGTCCTCCGCATCCTAGGTTCATAGTAAATCAGGATGTCTGCCATTGTTACCATTAGCCCCTACTGCTCAGTCTCCCCTCAACCTGAGGATAAGGTTGGACCAGGAGTCAAACTATCATCATCATCACCACCATAAATACCAGCAGTAACCCACTGTGCACCAGGCCCTACGGATAGAAGGGCAGGTTAATCTCTATCCTTGTGGCACACAGTTGTTGTTGTTGTTGTTGTTGACTGCCTTCAAGTCGAACATGACTCATAGTGATCCTATGAACAAAAGGCCTGAAGCCCCTCTACCACTATCGGCACTCATCAAAGTTCATAGAGTTTGCAGAGGCATGTGGTTTAGGAATTGGATGCCATTCCTGCTTCCAAAATTACACATAGTAGGTGGTCAATATTGTCTGCATAAAAGAACAGGAGTTTGGGGAATAATCAGTGGGCACTGATGAGCCTGCTGTTAACAGCGACCAAACTACAAACCCCTCATTGCTATGGAGTCAGAATCCACTCACCGCTGACCTTCCAACAAGTTTTTCGAGCCTGTAAATTGAATCGGAGGAGACTGCCCATCTTTCTTCAGTAGAGCTGCTAACAGATTTGAACTGCCAGAGAAGTGTCCTACTGGGGTTAGCAGCGTATTGACGGTCAAAGGCAGGGATAAACCAGAAGCCAAACAAAACCTGCTCTACACTATTGGGTCCACTGACTGAGCAATTATACAGACTAGAGTAGATGGGCCTGAGGTGAATTTCAAGCCTCTGGTGGCCGAGTCCTTAGGAAGTTGCACTGCTAACCTAAATTGGCATCACTTCTCTCCCAGTTCGAATCTACCACCAGCTTCACAGGATGCCTTCTCTCCTTTTCCCGAGCCATTTACTGCCTCTGAAAACCTGCTGGAGGGTTAGTTATATTTTGCTTCCAACTTGATGGCAAAGAGGGTTTTTCTTTTTCTTAGTTTTAGCTGGGATGCGCCTTTATGCAAGAACCTTAAAACCTCACTGTACAACAGCAGTAAAATGCCCCCAAATAACCAAAGCTGTTCTGTCTACCTACAGGATTGCCACCAGACAACAGATGTCCAAGCCTTTTGCAAACTACTAGCTTTTACAGTTCACAAGAGCTTCCTTCATTCAGTGCAGCACCGACTCAGAACAGGGCTTGGCGTAAAGTAAGCAGCCAGAAAGTATGTGTTGAATGAATGAAACCACTCAAGGCTGTTGAAGCAAAGCTAACAGGAACGATTTCACGTTTCATTCCCCTGGCAGCACTAGCATAATGTGTCGGACTTCTAGCTCAGAGGTTAGCGGTTCAAATCCACCAGTTTCTCTGAGAAAGACAGTCTCCTTCTCAAAGACTGGAGTTACAGTAAATGAGGTTGATGGTTCGAATCTACCAGCGGGAGAAAAATGGGCTGTCTCCTCCAAGACCCATCATTGTTGTTGTTCTGTGCAGTCGAGTCATAGTCACAGTAAATGATGGGGAATTCTGGCGGACCGGGACTCCACAGTGGGGTTTGGACACTGAGCTCCGCATGCCATCCCTCTCCCAGGGCTGCTCCGGTGGCAAGTCTTCCCCACCGCTCATGTCCCTGCGTTTGTCACCGGCGCCGAAGGCTGTGCTCACCTGCCCCGGGGTTCCCGCGGTGCTGCGTTCTCTGCGCGTTGCGCCTTCTCAGCTCAGAGGCCGCGGCTCCCGCAGCCGCTCCCGGGACCGAGCGCTTGGGGGCGGGGCCTCGCTGGGAGCAAGGCCTCTAGGGGCGGGGACTCCAGGGGGCGGGGCCGTGCAGAGTGCTTGGCCTTCTAGGGGCGGGACCTTATTAGGAGCAAGGACTTCTTTGGGCGGGGCTTCCAGGGGGGCGGGGCCTCACTGGAGCAAGGCCCTCTGTGGGCGGGGATCCAGGGAGCGGCGCCTTACGTGTGGTGGTGGTGGTGTGTGACAGGGGCTTCTAGGGTAGGCGCCCCAAGAAACTTGGGACACTGGATTCTTGCTCAGCCCCTCCCATTTCACCTTCCTCCTTCCACCCCTACCCCCCCGCATCCACTGGGTTCTAGGTGCCAGTCCTGCACAGAATGGATGAAAGTACCCTAACACCCTGCCTGCTGGACTCTGTCCTGTTGTTATTGTGGTTGTTACGTGACATCGAGTCGCTTTATAATTCATAACAACCTATGAACAAACGGCTCTGAATTTTGCCTTATTCTGAGCCTCACGGTCTCTTGTCTCACCTGACCCCCTTGCCACAATCACCATGTCAATCCATATCATCCAGGGTTTCCCTCTCCTGTCCTGACCCTTCATCCTTCCAGTGATGTCCTTCTCCAAGGACTGACCCATCCTGACAACACGTCCAAAGTATGTGAGAGAGAGCTTAAAAATCCGTGCCTATAAGAAGCAACTTGGTTTCACTTCTCCAGAACAAAGCTATTCCTTCTCCTGGCGGTCTATGGTATATTCAGTACTCTTCTCTGGCACCACAACTCAAAGGCATCGACTCTTCTTCTATCATCCTTAGTCATTGTCCAGCTTTCAGATGCATAGCAAGTACTTGAGAAGACCATGGCCAGCATTGCCTTAGAACAGAAAGAAAGAGTTGCTTTCTCTACCTACTTAGACCTTCCACTTTGATCTCTTAGTTCAGCCAGGCTTCCTTCCTGTCTGCCTGCTACCCTTCCCTCTCTCTATTCATCTATCTATCTATCTATCTATCTATCTATCTATCTATCATCTCTATCACATCATCCCATTATCCTTCCCTCTATCTAATTGTCCATTTATGCATTTATGGTTTTTTAATTTAAAATAAAATTTTTATTTTATACTGGTTACTTGCAAAGTTTATATACATTGTTTTTCACACCAGATCTTTCCCAATTCCTTTATCCACATTCCCCTCCAACCATCAAATTGTGCGACACTATGATTACCCCGACTCAACATCACATCACATCACACAACAAAACATTGTTTGATTGGAAGTTGAGTCAAGGGGATGATTTCAGTTCCAGGTTCCAGTCAGTTTCAAAGGTTCCACCAGTCTCTACCAGACCGGAAAAATTTGGTCTTTTTAAATTATTTCTCCCCCTAGATAGCAGAACAACAACTGTATCAGGGAGCATCTATGGTAATCCCTTTAAGAATGATAAGAAGCACTTCTTCTGTTTCAAGGTCATGCAAATATAAGTTCCTGTGATCCATTAGTCTTTTGGATTAACATAAGTTTATTTTCTATCTACTTCTTGCTCCTTATGGGGAGAGACCAATTGTACTTTAGACACAATTGAATGATTTAGATGCAATTTCATGCTGTTGAAAAATATTAAGACCTCAGCTGCTAGTGATCAAAGTAAAATGCAGAATAATGTTCTTATGGGCTATGTGTTTTTTCTTAAATTTTATTATTTCCTGCGTGTGTACCATCAAATCAGATCTGACTGGTACAGGAGGAGATTGACCCTCCTTTTCCAGCAGAGCATCTGGTGGATTTGAACTGCGTATCTGTGGGATTGCAGTGGAGCTTCTTACAACTAGGCCACCAGAGCTCCCATGGGTTATGTTTTGTGAATTGACCTTGATGGCTTCTGAGACTATGGTCCTGAGCTCCCAGGCCTAAAGACTCATTTCATCAAGGTGACTAGTTATGGTTAAAAAGTTTTCCTAATTTTTTTTTATCCCATTTGGTTTACCAGTGCGCTCTGGTGGTATAGTAGGTTAAGTGATGTATTACTAAGTGAAATGTTGGCAGTTTGAACCCAAACATCATTCTATGGGAGAAGAATAAGGCAGTCTTTTTCCATTAAGGTTTACAGCTTGGGAAATCTGATGGAGAGCTGCCATTGTTTGGAATTGACTGAACAGCACTGTTTGGTTGTGGATTAGGGGGTAAGGAGCCATGCTGCTAACTCAGAGGCAGTGGTTCTAATCCATCAGTCGCTCCAAGGGAGAAAGATGGGAAATCTCCTCCTGTGTGATTTACAGCCTCCAAAAACTGCTGGAGAGACCCTATAAATTGAATCTAACTAAATAGCAATGTGGTTTTTTAAAAAATTTATACCCCAGACAGATATAGATGGAGAAATATCAGGCAAATCTATGTAGCTGTGGATACAGTTTCATTTGTCTACACATCATACCTGTTCATTTTGTTTGTCAGACTGTCTATCCTTTTGAGGATTAGTGCCATGCTCACTAAGCTGTGCCAAGAAATCTGGAGAGCAACCACTTGGCCAACTGACTGGAAGAGATCTATATTTGTTCCCATTCCAAAGAAAGGTGACCCAACAGAGTGTGGAAACTATAGAACAATATCATTGATTTCACATGCAAGCAAGATTCTGCTGAATATTATCCAAAAATGCTGGAACAGCACATCAACAGAGAACTGCCAGAAGTCCAGGCTGGGTTTAGAAGGGGTCGTGGTACTAGGGATATTGTAGCTGATGTTAGATGGATCTTGGCTGATAGCAGAGAGTACCAGAGGAATGTCTATCTGTGCTTCCTTGATTATGCAAAGGCGTTTGACTGTGTGGCTGACTCTGAGAAGAATGGGAATCCCAGAACACTTGATCGTGCTAATGCGAAACCTATACTTGGGCGAAAAGGCAGTCGTCAGAACAGAGCAAGGAAACACTGCATGGTTCAAAATTGGTAAAGGTGTATGCCAGGGATGTGTCCTGTCTCCACACCTTTTCAACCTGTATGCAGAACAGATCATCCGGGAGGCTGGGCTCTATGAAGAGAAATGTGGCATCAGGATTGGTGGAAGATCTATAAACAATCTACATTATGCAGATGACACAACCCTGCTTGCTGAAACTGAGGAGGACCTGAAGCGCTAGCTGCAGAAGGTCAAGAACTGCAGCCTTCAATATGGATTGAGGCTCAATGTCAAGAAGACAAAGATTCTCACCACTGGACCAATTGGTAGCATCAGGATGGATGGTGAAGAGATTGAGATTGTTCACAGCTTTAGTCTGCTTGGCTCCACAATTAACACTCTTGGCACCAGCAGCCAGGAAATTAAAAGATGTATTGCGATGGGAAAGTCTGCTATTAGGGACCTCTCTAAAGTACTGAAGAGCAATAGTGTCTCTCTGGGGACTAAGGTGTCTCTGACACAGGCCATGGTCTTTGCAATCACTTGTTATGCTTCAGAGAGTTGGACAATGACTAGGGAGGATAGAAGGAGAATTGATGCCTTTGAGCTGTGGTGTTGGAGAAGAGTATTGAGGGTACCATGGACTGCTAAGAAAACAAACAGATTCATCCTGGAAAGGGTTAAACTGGGCTGGTCCTTGAAGGCAAGGATTCTGAAGCTTCGTGTGACATACTTTGGTCATATTGTAAGGAGAGACCGGTCCTTGGAGAAGGACATCATTCTTGGGATGGTGGAAGGCAGGCGCAGAAGGGGAAGGCCCTCTAGGAGATGGATTGATTCGGTGACTGGGGTAATCAGGATGGGTGTGTTGGAGACAATGAGATTGGCACAGGATAGAACAGAGTTTAGGGCTGTTGTACATAGGGTCACTATGAGTCACAAGCAACTCTATAGCACATAACAACAACAACAACATTACTGATTCTGGTAGATTTTGTATTTAATAGTATTCATCTTTGTTGTCACAAAGATTCTTACCACTGGACTGATAGGAAGCATTATGCTGCATGGAGAAGAGATTGAACTGTCAAGAGCTTCATTTTATTTGGATCCACAATTAACACACTCAGTACCAGCAGTCAGAAAATAAAGAGACCTATTACACTGGGAAAATCTGCAGTTAAGGACCTCTCCAAATTATTGAGGAGTAATGATGTCAGTTTGAGGACTAAGGTGTGTCTGATTCAGGCCATGGTCTTTCCAGTCACTAGCTATGCATCTGAGAGCTGGACAATGAATAAATAAGACAGAAGAAGAACTGACTCCTTTAAGCTGTGGTGTTGGAGAAGAGCACTGAACATCCCATGGATGGCCAAGAGAACAAATAGATTTATCTTGGAGAGGATGGAGCTGGAATACAAGAATAATGAGGTTTCTTCTCACATACTTTGGACATGTTGCTTGGAGGGGATGTTTCTTGGAGAGAGGCATGATGCTGGGAAGGGTGGAGGGTTGGCAAAAGAGAGGAAGACGCTCAACCAGGTGGATTGACATGGTGACTGCTGCAATGGGCTCTTGTGTGTCAGGATGTGTGAAGGTGATGCAGGATAGAACAGGGTTCAGATCTTTTGTTCATAGGGTTGCAATGAGTCGAACTTGGCTCGCTGGCACCCAACAACCACTACCACATTTGTTGTCTGTAATTCTTGTGCATCTCTCTGAGTCTTCCATTTCCTTAGGGAGCTCTGGTGCTGTAGTCCATAAGGAATTGGGCTGTTAACCCAAAGGCTGAACCTCTCTAGAGGTTTAAATCCAACAAGTGCTCCATTAGAGAAAGATGGACAATTTCTTCCCATGGGATCTATAGCTTTGAAAATCGACTGGAAGGTCAGCAATTAACCAGTTCCAAGTCAATGGCAATGCATTTACTTTACTGTTAGATTACCTTTCCTTTCATATCATTTAACAGTTAGTGATTTTTCCTTCCTTTACCTTCAGTCCCTGCTAACTATCAAAGACTGTTTCTTTGGGTAAACCATTTTTTAACTTTTTTTATAATAGTGTACTTATTTCATATTTGTCTTTTTGTAATAGGCTTATTTCCACTCAATACAATGCTCTCCAGGTTCAGTTCTGTTCTGAGGTGTTTCAAGGAT